AACCTCAACTCCATCCCCTTTAGATGTAGAAGTGCAAGCAGCAGTTAATGCTTTATTAGCATCAACATATTCTCTATATACCTCATACAAGGCATCTCGAACAACATCAATATTTGCTCGCGCTTCAGGCTTAGGATACATCTTAGGGAACGACCACTGAATCACTTTCATCTTCAGTCTGAGGTCCAAAACAGTAGCCACAACCATCAATAGATTACATTCTCCCCAATATTTGTCAAACTTTTTTTTCATTTGCCAAATCATGGACTGTATAAACTCATCTTCTTCCTGACTCTTACTATCCAACATAATTTTGATTGTACAAACTTGTTTTAGAAACAAGTTTGATGTCGGATAATCACTCCCCGATATGAGATTCGTTGCACCACTAAACACCTTCAAAATTTAACAAATTTTCTTAACTTTGTCCCAATCCTCATCCTTGGGACAATAATGATAACTCAAATCCTTCTCCTTCAAACAAGGAAAAACACGTCTAAATTTCACTGTCGTTGCCAATATATCATATGTTGAATTCCACCGTGTTTTGCAATCAAGAACAAGCTTGTGAAATGGCAATTGCAGCTGCTGAACAATCTCTGCAAACATATTTAGTCTACTCTCCGATGAATTGATATATACCACGTTGTCACGGATGTCCTGAATAATGTGTCTAATATGATAAAGACCATTGCACAACAACCACATGAAACAACTTGCCCCCACATATGAGCTTCCCCATAGCTTGGAAATTTTCTTTCAACACTTTTACTACAACATCATTGCTTGAAACATTATCCACTGAGATCGTGTGGACCTTAGCTTCAATTCTGCACTCCGCCAAACACTTGAAAATTGCATCAGCAATGACAACATTAGAACAGGGAGGAGGGAAATGAATAAACTTCAACACTCGTCTATTCAACTTCCAATTTTCATCAATCCAATGCCCAATCAACACCATGTATTCCATCCTCTGGTTTCTTGAATTCCATAGATCTGTGGTTAGACTTATCTTCCTATTACCTTTCAATATGGTCTACAACTGTTGCCTCTCATTTTCAATCACTTTCATACAATCATTCTTACAAGTATTACGGGAAATCAGAGTCCATTGAGGAATCCCGTACTTCATCATGTTGTTCAACCCCTTTTCCTTCACAATAGAAAACGGATGCTCATGCATCAGCACCTAATGTGCAATAAGCTCCCTTATTTAGGCATATCGAATTGGCTCCGTAGAGCAGGCAGGACGGTGGAGGCACTCTGAGAACTGGAAGTGGGGAAATTTATTTGTTGTTGCCTCAAGTTAACTGTTCTCTTTGCACACCTCTTCAAATGTCTATTGAATTGTGTAGTGCTTCCAGTGGCAGTCATTTTTAGCTTTGTTTTACAATGAATGCACTCTGCCTTCCTTGTACCACCAAGGAGAACCACCTCTCTAAATTCTGACCACACAGCTGATGTCTTGGCTCTCTTCTTCTTTCGTAGTGGATTGTCATTGTCCTCTATATTTTTGGGGCTACTCACACTTTGCTTTGTACCACCTGTGCTTGCATAAATGTTACGCCGATCGACTGCTCTTACTGTAACACAATCGTCGACGTCATCCAATGTAGGGGTGCTTGAGGAACTGTCTCCCGAGGCCATACCTACAATTGAAAAATAAGACACCATTAATAATGACTAGAAAAATATGTAACTACATTATGGTGGAACATTATAAATTCAAATAGGCATTTTATAGTATACTTAAAGCATTAATGAGAGCTTGAAAATACACATTTACTTAGTGGTTTATGGGGATTATTTGTGAGAAATTAGGCTTAATTTGGTAAAGTTGTTTGATATTTTCATAATTGTCTTTTATGAGATCACATTTGTGTTTGAGTGTTTTTCAGGTTATTTGTGCTAAATATTATACTCGAATTAAGATTCATATCAACAATGGAACGAATGACAAGTAGAAACAAATAGATCGAGAATCGGAGTTGAATTGAAGAAGTTATGGAGCTTTGAAGTAAAGAGGAGTTTCTAGATTATGCTCCGGTTTGAGCATGATTCGGTGTTTTGACAATATCTCGAGCTATAGACCTCAGATCAAGACGATTATTTAATTGTTGGAAAGATAATTCAAATGGCTATATTTCATATGTTTACAACTTCTCCAGATTCCATCGTTATCGTACTAAAAAATTATCATCTCTGGAGTGCTGAGGAATGATGTGAGATTTGGACTAAAGAAAAAAGAGTTATTACTATGCCGCAGCACACTTTGTCCAGTAGCTACCATGCCGCAGCATAGTGCCGGGGCACAATCACAGCAGTTAAAGAATTTGTCATCCGTTTTTGTTTAGGAAAATATGGTTAAGAGTCCTAAACCAAAGAGAATTAAGGAAAATAAAACCATAACCTTTGTGAGATATAAATAGAAGTCTTTTAACATTATTTTGGGGATTCTCTGGGGAGAATAAGAGAAGAAAAACCTATAGAGAAGAAAAGTGCCAGAATTTTTAGAGCTTTGGTTTTTAATATAGGGAAGTTCTTCTTGTTTCTTTCTTATAAACTCATATTGATTATTTTAATAAAAATGATTGTTTCTTTCATGTTTATTATGAACTAACTTTATTTTTCTAGGGCTAAGATGTAGCACAATCTCTTCATTATGTGTTAATTTATTTATATTGATTTTTATTAAGATTTCTTCATAAGTTATATTATTATGCTTAATGCTTTTTATTCTTAAGGGCCCAAGAATTGAATGAGCTAATTGACTAGGTTGAGATCGAGAGATGATACTTAGTTAGTCTACGGTAGTAAAACCATAGGTTGAGCGAACGCTAAAGATAGGTTAGCACAACTTGTGAGGTTTTGGTAAACTCCATAGAGCGTAATGATCTCCAATTGCTTAAATTTGATTAGAGATAATTCGGGTTAGTAATTAGGGGTTAATTTGATAATTGTTCGAGAGAAAGTTATTAGAAATTTAGGGAGTTTGACATGTAGGAAGAGCTTAATAAAATTAGCATAAGTGATCGATACATATGAATAAGAGTTGGCGTGAAATCTATGCCCTAGGTCTAGTCATCTTGTTTTAACCCAAAGATTTATTTTAATTGTTCTCTTTTCAATTTTTTTTTTTTTTATTTCAATTGTTAATTTTATTTAATTTAAATTTTTCTTGATACAATTTGGATTAATCAAATAATAATAGGATAATTTAATTAATAATTAATAATAATAATTTTTTTAGATTTGATATTCATATTTATATATTTTATTACTTAGACAATTTCATACACTTGTGCAAATCCACAAGCATCCTAATACCAATAATTTAGTCGGCAAACATAACTATTTCTATACTTATCAACATGTATTGTCCATACATTTTGACTTTTCAAGAGGCTGTGTATTGGTGTAGCTTGGATACGCAATCCTCTTCTACACTCCATACAACTTTGAGATTTACTTTTTATCTTTTTGGGAAATGGGATTGCTATGGTGTAAAGATATTGATTTCTCAGTCATAATTGTCTTTATTCTTCTTTCCAACTTCATATTCAATAAGCATTGATGATAATGGCTGAATTTTTGCATCGGCATTACAGAAATTCTATCACTTTGTTTTGTGCACAAAAGTTTTCTTTTATTTTGTGTAACAATCATTCCATTTCAGAAATTTTTAGTACTTGAATGATCTGATTTTGGCCTCAAATTGTAAGTAAATAAGTGATACAATAAAATCTATATCATGGTGTTAACAATCCTAGAAAAGATGCTTCATATATTCAGATGATAGATTCAACGTTTAGAATCTGCACTCTTTTGATTTGGCAAGCTTTCAATCACATCAAAGGGGCACTAAACTTATAATACCCAATAAGCTAAAGTTCAATGCTTAGTTGAATGGTTTCCGATGACTAATGAGATTCTTATATTCCATAATCAAACATAAATTCAAAAGCAAAACAACTCATAAGCATAACAAACAACTTCGAAAATACTGTGCAAAATCAATGAACTCGTTAATCCTCTATAATGCAACGTGAAAGAGATGAAAGAAGAGATGTAAAACTCACTGGTGGCTGCAAGAACACGGGATGAAGCCTGTCAATTTCACGGTTGTGAGATTTCGCGATTTGGGGGTTTAGGCTTCAGTCGATTTGGGGGAGAGGAGTTAGCAAACTTGGTTTCAAGCTTTGAGGGATGAAATTGCGGTTTGTGTAAGTGTTTTTACGGTCGATGACGACGAGGGAGACCACTGGATCCACGACGAGGTCATTGGTTTGGGGTTAGGGTTCTTCATTGGGTAAATGTTTGCGATTTGGGAATTGGGGGAAATTGATTTGTGGTGAAATTTGGTGTTTTACGATTTTGCACTTTGGGGGGGTAAATGTCAATTTTTTAAAATTTTGTAACCACTATATAAAGTTAAGTCCCTCATGGTTTATAAAACTCACCAAAAGCACCCTGCATACGCAAGCCAACCCAGGCTCGCGAGCCCACGAGTCAAGCCCCCCATGTTCGAACTCGACTCGGTTTATAAACCGAGTTTGAGCCGAGTCAACTCGACATTGTCGAGTCGAGCTCCAAAAGAGCTTCAAACGAGTCAAGCCGAGCCGACTCGCGAGTGGCTTGACTCGTCTGACAGTTCTACATAAACCTTGACGTAGACCCAACCGAAATTGGGCCACGTAATAGATGTATCATGCTTGTGCCTGATTAAGCTTAAGACGATTTTTTGCCCATACAAGTAAAACAAATAAGAAATGACGATTCCGCAAGATAGTATATTGAATTTATCTCATTTAGAACCCAGAACTCCGTGAATCACACGAATGTTCAGCAGATTATGATAATTGCTTCTAAGCAGGTAGTACAGGACTTGAGAGGAAAAACAAAGAAGCAAAATATATATTACATACAGTATATGATCAAATGACCGTGGAAAAGTTTAACCAAAATAAATAGAGGAAATGGACTATCTACTAATTGTCTCAAACAAAATCGAAGCGCATCAGAAGCCTTACTGATCTCAGCTTTTCTCCTTTGCGATCAAAGAGGGGAACAGCACGGATCCCTGTCTTCAACTCAGAGACTGGCAAACAAGTTTGGCCGGCAAAGTCATCCTTCTCAGACATGTCGTACTCGTGGACTTCAACTCGAAGCAGAGCAAGTTCAGGAACAGTCAATGGAAATTTGAATTCTTCTCCCCAAACAGGTGTCCAGTTGTCCTCCTTTGTCTTCGTTTTCTTCATTATCTGATCCGCTCGCACCCCAGCTATGCCAACCTGCATTACAGATAGACAGGAAAAAAACACGTATTGAAGGTTTGGACATTACGTGCAGAAGGTTGAAATTAAGGGAAAAAAAAAATTAAAAATTATCAGCAGGCACTAATCTTTATGTTAATATAGTATCAATTCACAGCTTACCCTGCAATAGAAATCAGGGGGTGAGTATAGATCAAAGTGTGTTTGTTTAAAATCCAAATGCCATCCATCTCCCATGTAAACTTTCACCTGCAAACATGAAAAGGCGGTCAGAGAAGGGGAAGTATATGCAGCTTGTAGCTTTAATTTAACATCATACTGATTACCGACCCTCAAAGTCTTTTTCGCTGGCAATTTTTCCCTGGGATCGAACACTCGATCATTTGGACCAACATTCATTAGAAAATCAGGCTTCTTGACATAACCACACCCTCCGTTAGATCTGAACATTCCATGCATCAACCAGAGAGCCCTACCATATCCCTGACATTATACCACAGCAGTGTTAGTATTGGAACACTCTAAATCAAACTAAACAAACTATAAACTAACATATGAAATATTGACATAGACTCAACATATTGTTCACTCAAATTGTTTTAGAAATTTGAAGGAACTAATTATTTCTCATTCCTCCCTTCCCATCATCCTCCTACCTCGATTTCACAAATGTAAAATGAGTTCATTGGGCTACTTTACCAAGTGGATTGCTTGCTTCAGAAATTGATTAGCCACCCTCTTTACATTAAGTTTCTATATTTGTTATTTTCTTATTTTTTCATGTAAAATATGTCTGAAACTTTTATAAAGACAAACTTCTGGTCTGAGAAAGCAACTTGACACGATCCTTGTAGCAAGAGCATAACTGGAGGGTAGTTCTGATAACCAGACAAAGTAATGTACTTCTCTATCAGATTCCACAAATGAGGAATTGAAAGAACTCTTCATAATAGAGGCACTCAATTACAGATGGCTCCAGCATCATTTTACAAATCCAAGTTATCTCAGAAGATTATCACTTAAAATCAATGGCAAGTCGAAATGTAACCAATCAAACAATGTAATTTTTCCCTTTAAATGATTGTAAAGAAGGAACTTTTTTCAGCAAAGTAGAAAAGAAGACTAAGTTTAAGAATCATAATCAATTAAACAGAAAAATATGTGCATAATATCCACAGCACAGCATCTATAACTTATGTTTGAGCAACTGAGAAAGGAATACAGAACCCAAACCTGCATGTTAAATGCAACCATTTGAGCTCCATGCATCCAACCAACTAGTGGCTTGTAATTGGAGGAGTTGAACCGTGTACCCTTAGGATATATCCTTAAAACGTTCTTCTGGGTAAATCTACAGATGATAATTTCAAGCGTCACGTAAGGTCCATTGGAAAATTTTAAACAACTTGGAAAAGAAACAAAAAACCTACATTCCCATATAAAACCTTATCTCAGGCATCTTAAACTAAAAACTTAATAGTCATAAATACCTCACAACATCTGTTCCATGAGATTCAGTCGCCTTTTCAAGTGATTGTTCACTCAAACTAAGGCGTCTAACTTTATTAGCTTCAACTTTGAGTGCCTCCTTTAATCCACCCTTGGGTTTTCTAGCATGAATGGCAATTAGGCGCCTGTAGTCAGATGCTTCCGAAGGGCACTCTTGGTCATCGACATCATTATATTCACTTGAATCACTATCACTCTGTAAATAATAGCTCAACAAATTAAGTGAACACATAAAAATGGTACATATGCTAAGGAAACTGGTTTGAAGGTCAAAATGAGATTCTGTTTCACAGCACCTTGTCTTCATCTTCTTGGTCAGCTGTAAGGTCTGATGGCTCCTTGCCCCATTCATCTTCATCAGAGTTATTTTTCGTATCCTTACTTTTAGCTTTAAGGTACTCTTTTGGAGGTTTTGTTGATATTATAATCTTATACTTCAAGTCATCTGGTGAAGGGAATTCTTGCAAACATTCACATTGCGGACAAAACAGCATGTCTCCAAATGTGTCAGTGATCATCTACAAACAAAATTATAGTTGATCATAAAATATTCCGGCTAACAATGTAAGTCAAAACATGCAAACAAAAAAACATTGATGTTACCTTAGCTACTTTAGCCTGAAGATCTGGTGTCAGGTGGTCTTCAAGAGTAATTATAACAGGATACGGAGATGCAGAAAAAGCATTCTCTTTAATGGATCTCAAGCATTTAAGCAGTTCCACAGGGGTCGTCAAGGTCCTAAATTTGGCAACAAAACTTCCAAGTGAGATTAGGGAAGGACTTTTTCTATCAAGGAAAAATGATAAAAGCCTATTTAAGAATCCTGTCTATGAAGTCGAAAGAGAAAAATGTTGATAAGGTTTTTATGACAACACATCTATATCAAGCTATTTCATTGAATAGCGCATACAGCTAACATTAAACAGCCAGAGAAATCAGCAGAACTTGATATCTTTGCTAAATAAATGCAATCTTCCTCTGTGATTCAGAACTAAATTATACCGGTGTCAGCTTCCTTATGTGACACATAAGAGTCATTCCAATCTTAATCAAAATAAAGATTCCCAGTGGCTAAAGAAACAGAGCAGCGTTTAAATACGAGGCTTGATTGAAGCAGGGGACTCTATGATGCTTCTTTTAGGTATAATTCAATATCCTAATTATAAGATTTTTTACTGTTACTAGAAACAGGGTTCAACTACAAATCTATAAAATCCCACCATGAAAGTGTCCCATACTAAGACCGATTTTCAGATAGCAAAAACCTACCCCTTTGGAAGACAATAAACTCTTTAACTTAAAACAAAAATTGAATCATTTCCAGAACAAATCTATGCCTCAATCTAAATACGTTGTTGTTTACATACCTTCCATGAAGAACATTTACATCATCTTTAGTAGAATTAGGCCAAATGTCAAGCTCTACAGCTCTTACACCTCTCTGCAGTGCCTTAATAATTGGCCTATCGCTACAATCACTGCTCAGTTGATTCCCAGTTAAATATGAATTGTGTCCTGTGTATATAAAATAATTCGACAATGGAGCTTTCATATCATGATGGACCTGATCATATCATAAACAACAGCGCTCCCATTATTAACAAATAAAGAAAGAATAACAGCACCCCATCGCAAAATTCCTTCATTTTTCTCAGCAACCAAACAGAGCACAATACCTTATCATTGATGGGGCGATTAAGATCTGGGTTGAACAAGTAATGGTGAAAATCATCAAGAGTAAGAGTATGTCTGGTAAACTTAGCAATATGATGCCTTGACTTCAAAACCTGCTCCAACAATTTCTCAGCATCTGCAACACACGCGCCACCATCACCTTTGCCATCACCTTGAACTTCCACCAAGAACCGCTGCAGCTGCTCCGCCGTCATGTGGGTTCCCCGTTCTGCATACTTAGCAAAAGCCTCTTTAACATCGATCGGCGGCTCCGCCTCAGTGATCCGAAACTTTCTGGTAAAGCACATGCACATTCTGTAACTCCCCATCTCTCTCCCTCTCTCTCTCTCTCTCACTCACTCACAAAACCTCTGAAACAGAGCTTAAATAAAAAGAAAAAGAAAAAGAAAATGGCTTCCCCTGAAAAAAAGAGTTATGAAGTGACTTATATGAAGAGTTGTGTGTTGAATGTTTCAGCTTCTATTCAACGCTTCATCTTCCCGCCCGGCGTCGGTTGGTACGCGGATTCTTTTCGTTTACAACACATTTACAATCACAAGGCCTGAATGATAAAAGCGAAGTCGCTTTGTTTTGTTAGTGGATCAATCAATGGTTAAACTATTAATAATACTAATATAAGAATATTATAAATGTGGAGGTGCTCTGTTTCTGTTGTGTGTACAGCGTAGCAACATCATCAGTCATAGTGTAGTGTAGTAGTTGACATTGATGATGATTGATCTTGTTTGCATTAAATTACGTTCATATATTCATTTATTTAAGGAAAAATTTTGTATTCAACGTGAATCACGTTGTGCAGTGTGAACTCCGAACATGTTGAGATTGTATTTGTGGGTGAGGTGGGGCTGCTTTATAATTTGTTGTCATACTGCTGGATGCAGGTGAATCTAGCTAAGATTCCTGTAACATTTCGATACAATTTGAAATAATAAGAGAGTTTTAGTTTAGTATCCGGGACCACTAATAAGAGATAGTCATTAGAAGTTCGCTTAATCGTTAATTTCAGGATTCAGGGACTAGTTTAAATGCACGTAAGCTGATTTGGACATATCCGAACACCCAACAAAAAAAAAGAGTTTAGTTTAGTAGAAAAATTATACTATGTTATGCTGCAAATCTGAAAAGGATAATTCTTATTTTGGCTTGTAGGTATTTTGCGATATAGACTCCACGATCAAAGCTGAAGATCTCACTTTTTCCAGTTTGAGTTTATTTTCAATTCAATCGAGTTAACGGGTACTATATAAACTCATTTATAATCTATTTTATAAGAAGCACCAGAGGGAGAGAGACTGCGAAAAGAGGAAACTCAAAAGGGAAAACTCGTTGAGAATAACTCTTTGTAACTTAACTCATCAATATGCTCAATAGCATAACAATGAACTTAGGTTTTGATTATAAGCAACCGAATTACTTTAAAAAATATTTATTGTTCTTTGTCGTTAATAATCATTATTGTATATTCACCGTCGTATTAACTCTATGACTGATCCATCAAGATTATGCATTCATTTTATGTGATTCTAATACCGTCAATCCCATATTTCTGGTTTACGTAATTTTTCACATCAATATATGATAATTAACCTATAAACAATTATAATTAATAATTAGGTCAATTTTTATTACTAATCCTTGCGTAAACTCTTTTAACTTGGGGATAAAGAGAAGGAATCCTAGGATTAGCAATAGCCATCACGATTTCCATGTGCCATATTCAGTAATCATATTATTATTAAAAGATAAAAGAAAGAATTAGACAACGTTCATTTCTATTCTTTTAAAGTTAGTGCTTATGGAACTTTTTAACTACTCTTCATCTTACCGTGTTGTTAGATTAGACTGAGAGATGTGATGAGCGGTGGTGATCTTGATCGAAGGCAGTAAAAGGGCATGATTTACACGTGGGGTAAGTGGTAAGATATTAATATAGAAAGACCATAAATGTCTCTTGGTAAAAAGCAAAGTGGGTGTTGAACTGTCAATCCGAATTTATTAACGGAAAAATGGAGTGTCTTCTCCACTATTTATTAAAGAATGAATTCAATAACAAAAGACAGAAGAGCAAAAGAACAAAAATAATATAAGAAAAAGTCTGGTGCGTTTGTTTCCTTGTTTTACTCATATCCTATTCATCTCATTTCTAAAATAATTTCTAAAATACACGTTTATTTTCTATTCTAAAAATACTATTATATTATATTTAAGTATTTTTAAACCCTCTAAATCTGTTAATTTAATTAAACACCCAAAAAAATTAAAAATTGATAAAAACAATCTTATCCACTTACATTTGCCAGATTACAGCTACCACCGTTGAAAGATAGTCGAAATCTGATATAATAACGCACTGTCAACTGGATCTAACTGAAAATACGTCGATCTAACCTTTTCCAGCCAGATCCCTACAACCAAAGATCTGACCTTTTTCGACCAAATCCATAGTAAATCTGACTAGAAAATACCATATCGATGTATGAACGGTCAGATCCAACTAGTCGTGCACCAATACGACAACTCTAGTCACCCTCCGACGGTAGTGACCAACTGTCGATATTTAATAGGTGAGTAAAGATATTTTTGTTAATTTTTAATGTTTTATTACAAGGGTCTTTAGTAAATTAACAAACCTAGGAGGATGTTTTTATCAATTTTTAAATCATACCTTGTAATAACCCCTCAACTCTTATTTTTTCAAAAATACTATTTAAAATGTTAAAACAAACGCACCTACACTCGTGAATAGGTGAGATAGAAACTCTTAAATATATTATTCAATAGATTTTGAATTCAATTTTACTCGATTACTAATAAAGATGACTACTAAAGAGTTTACCAGACTCTTAATTTTAAAGCCTCGAGAATCGAGATTTATCAAATAGTTAACTTCAAAGTCTTAAAGATTAATTGAAATACGTATAAACTAACCAAAACAAACACTCCCGATCAAAAGACCAAAAAAAAAAGTATGGGTTCCAAATGAATGGGGTTGGTTTTAGTTCCACGTGGGTATGGTCCGTCTGGATTCCATTTCGACATTGCTGGTTCGTCAGAACACAAAAAAATATATGAAGCTATGACAGGGTGGGTTTTAGAGGCAATGAAGAAGACAATTCACTGAAATTATATTATAATAAAATTATCAGAAATGTTTATTAGCTTTCTACTTTAAATGGTTTTCTGGGTAGTTGTTGAGATTAACAGTTTAACACTAAAAAAACAAAAAAAAAAAAAAAAATCTTGTATGAAGCATGCCTACTCTATTTGCCTAGTATCCTCTCATCTCAACAGTCCATTCAAGAATTTGTGATGTGATTTAATATGTGGCTGATTTTTAGGCAGAAACAGGGGATCCTTTTTATCATCAAACATGAAAGCAGATGGAAGTTAGGCCTCGTTACCTATTCATTTTGCGGTGAATGTCATTCTGCTGAATAAACATTAAAATATACATTCAACCACATAATAAATAAAGTCATATTGTCATTCCAACTTATAAAGCCATATAATCCTGCCCGCCTCAACAATTATTTAAAGACAGACGTAAACCTAACCTAAACCCTAATCAGGAAGGGACAAACCTAACCCAGATGAGCTTAAACATATAAAACAATATACCTGNAGACAATTCACTGAAATTATATTATAATAAAATTATCAGAAATGTTTATTAGCTTTCTACTTTAAATGGTTTTCTGGGTAGTTGTTGAGATTAACAGTTTAACACTAAAAAAACAAAAAAAAAAAAAAAAAATCTTGTATGAAGCATGCCTACTCTATTTGCCTAGTATCCTCTCATCTCAACAGTCCATTCAAGAATTTGTGATGTGATTTAATATGTGGCTGATTTTTAGGCAGAAACAGGGGATCCTTTTTATCATCAAACATGAAGGCAGATGGAAGTTAGGCCTCGTTACCTATTCATTTTGGGGTGAATGTCATTCTGCTGAATAAACATTAAAATATACACTCAATCACATAATAAATTGAGTCATATTGTCATTCCAACTTATCAAGCCATATAATCCTGCCCGCCTCAACAATTATTTAAAGAGGGACGTAAACCTAAACCCTAATCAGGAAGGGACAAACCTTACCCAGATGAGCTTAAACATATAAAACAATATACCTGACAGCATTAACTATCGCATATGCGGATATGCCTCACATAGATACTGTACTATGCCAAGTGACTCTTTGGGCCAAAGTAGGACCAGCCCAAGCTTGACTTAAGCTCTGGTTATGACCAAATTATCAGCATCCATTTGGATGGTTACCAGGCAAGTCCATGGCACCAAAATAGCTATCAGCAGAATATACGAAACAGGAATGACACGACAAACAAAAAATAGCCAAATCCATTTGATGAAGAAGCAAAAACTAGACAATAGATCTGAAGAAGTTTACCAAAAACTAAAATTTTTATGCATGTATTTTCATTCGGAGACTATCTTCTCTACTGATAACAAAGAGCAGCTGTGTGTGTATTGTTCTTATAACAAGGAAACAATTCATCAGCTATCAAACCACCATCATATTATTATTGAAAGGAAGAAATAACTCAATTAATAAAGTGCAAAACTTAGGTTTATCTAAAGCAAACAAAACAAAACAACTCCAAAAAACTTCCCTTTGAAGCTTCACTCAGAGCGATTAGCATACCTCTCAACCTTACCGTCATTCAAATTGATACCAACCATAGCCTCACCCAGTCCACAGCTCACGTCTGCCAAAATATCCGGGTCACTGTAATTTGTAACTGCTTGCACAATTGCTCTAGCTCTCCTAACGGGGTCCCCGCTCTTAAACACACCCGACCCGACAAACACTCCGTCGCACCCTAACTGCATCATCAACGCTGCATCCGCAGGCGTCGCCACTCCCCCCGCAGCGAATTGCACCACCGGCAGCCGCCCCAGCTGCTTCGTCTGCATCACCAAATCGTACGGTGCTGCGATTTGTTTGGCGAACGTAAACACCTCGTCATCGTCCATGTTCCGTAAAACCCTGATTTCGCCCATCACCGACCTCACGTGTCTCACCGCCTCCACGATGTTCCCTGTCCCCGCCTCTCCCTTCGTCCGAATCATGGCCGCGCCCTCGCGGATCCGCCGCAACGACTCCCCCAAATTTCGGCACCCGCACACAAACGGAACCCTGAAATTATGTTTGTTGATGTGGTTATCTTCATCAGCCGGAGTCAAAACTTCGCTTTCGTCAACGTAGTCAACTCCGATGGCTTCCAGAATCTGCGCTTCAACGAAGTGGCCGATACGCGCCTTGGCCATGACAGGGATGGTGACACTGTTTTTGATTTGCTTAATGAGTTGTGGGTCCGACATCCGGGCCACGCCTCCCTGAGCACGGATATCAGCTGGAACGCGCTCGAGGGCCATGACGGCACAGGCGCCGGCTTCTTCAGCGATACGGGCCTGTTCAGGGGTGACGACGTCCATAATAACGCCGCCACGCAGCATTTGGGCCAGGCCCACCTTGACGGAAAAGGGAGACTTTTTAGTTGTTTCATAGATGGCGCCGTTACCGTAGACGGTGACAACTCCAGTGTCAGCCATTTTTTGGGAGAGATCTTAGAGAGAAGATATAAGAGAGGGAGGTGACGACAGAGAGTGGAGAGAGTATTTATATTAGCAGATTGGGATTCGTTTTGTGGAGAAACGGTGAAGGAGGGGCACGTGTGTGGCTTGGAGATAGTAATTTTATTTATAATCATAATTGTTTTTGTTTGGTTAGTGAGTTAATTTTGTTACTTAATTAAGGTTAATTATCAGTAAATATTATTATTTTGTGCTTAATAAGTTGCCTAATTATTTTAAATTAATTCACTCTCGTTTTATCATGTTTATTTGCATGCGTGATGGTGTCATCGTCATTAGTTTAACCATGGTTAATAATTATCCTATTTATTAGGGGTGGGAGGTTTCCGAAACCACCCAAATCAAAGGAATCTAAACCACAACCAGCCGGTCTCGATTCTTAGAAGCTAAAAACCGGAACCTGAAGTTCTAGTTCCAAGCATTGTTTTAAAACCTAGACCGGAGGGCAACCCGTTTATTGTTCGGGTCATGGGCCAATCGATCCAACTGGTTGGACCGCTCGATTGGATCGATAACGCCAGCGACAATTTTATTTTTAAAAAATTACATATTAATCCCTCAAATTTTAACATATTACAAAAACTCTCCTAAAAAAGTTTGTTAGTCCCTAAAATTTTTATTTATTTCTAAAATACCCCAAAAAATTACTAATTAATCTCTAAACTTTTGACATATCTCCAAAACACCCTTATAAAATTACAAGTTAACCCTTATAATTTTAAAATATTATAAAAAACCCCCCTAAGACCTGAATCAGACCGGAGAAGCTGTCGGGTCCTGGTCAGACCAGTTCGATCCGATTTTTAAAACAGAGGTTCCAGGTAATTGGGTTAGTTTAAATTACCCCCCAATTTAAAAAAAAAAATGACAAATACTGTAAAAATCACAATGCACCCCCAACAATTTATAAAAAATTATAATTCAGTCTTGGTTCCTACCTAGATACCCGGATCTCGATTTCGATCCCAATTTCGATTTCAATTCCCGGTTCCTGATTTTTAGAATCGAAACCTATCATGTGGGGGCTAGTTTCGGGTAGGAACTGGAATCGAAACCTCGAGTACCCGTCAATTCTGGCCGGTTCTTTTGCACACCCCTATTATTTATAAGGATATTACTTTCTAAACACAAATTATGATACAATTTTGAGCCTTTGGATTGATAAACTTTAAACAATTGAGATTCACTAATATTTTATATAATTAACACATTTAAATAAGCTCTTTGTCTTTCCCCATTCAATAGATAGTGTAAAAAAAAAAAAAAGTTGGGAAGGATGAATTCTAGATGAAAAAGGCAACATTTTTAACCACTATTGAAGATTCGATTCAATGAAGGTTACGGTATAACAGCATATAAATCCTGAACTGAAAACAATACAGCACCTCAAAAATCATATTTTCCTATTATACACCATCTACATCAATTCTATCTCTACAAATGATTCAATGTATATAATATATATATATATATATATTTTTACAGCAGCAATGTCTGCTTATAATGGATTCTACACTGGATTTTTCTGAGCTTCCATATTCCTGACCTCATGTTTGCTTCCTCTTTTTCATTCATCCAACTCTTGATGACGATTGATTGGAGGCTCAAGTTTGCATGGTGGGGTTGGTGAAGGAAAGGTATATGTTCTTTCAAGGAATTCCTCTGGTTAGCATCAGCCAAACAAGCAGCGAATCACCACAAACTTCAGAGGCGACGAGGTGGAGATGGCGCCAAGTCCTGCAGCTTTGAGTACTCTGCGATAAGTGAAACATGTAATCATACACTCGATCCATACTTAAGCTTCCATGAAATCTTGTCCCCTTTGTCCCATTGTCTCAGCCTTTTTATCCATTTTTAAAATGAGAAGAACACAAGAAAAAACGAAATCAGAAGATTTTGTTCTGGTGCTACTGAATTCCTGTTGACAGAGATGAACAAATTGAGTTCAATCATACCTCAGATGGGTTTGAGTTACCCCAGTCACGGCAAATTTAATAGAGGGGCACAATTTAGTGGAGAGACAGGCCAGTAGTTTTTCTTAGGAATGAGACCACGGGTGAAGAAATCTTCATACTGAGGAGCATTATCAGAGCAAGAGAATTACATGATAGAATATATTTCAAGCTCACAGCCAAGCGAAGCCTTCAGCATAGATCTTGTACCTGCATAAAGAAAATGATATGTTAAATGCATAATATTACTAACATGAGAGAGTGTCTAAAGATTGGCTTTCCAACAAAAGAAAATGGTCAATTGGCCAGCAATGATAACTTCAAATTTCTATTCTGTAGCTACTTTCAATAACAAGGAAAAAAAGAAACTTTAAAATGAAACAATGCAAAATGAAGATCACTCACCGATTCTTACACTGGTTCGATGTTTGGACTTCTCAAATCCATCTTTTGCTTCTTCAGTCCAATTCTGTATTGCACAATAAGAAGCATCCAGAACATGAATTTGTATAAGTATACGAAATTACCTTCAAGATGTGAAACTAATACATATACAAGAAGGAAATCCAAGTTCCAATTCAAACCTGACGCATAATTTGCGCTCCCCAGCGCTCAGTGTCATTGCATTTTAGTAACTCTACACGCAGAGGAGAAGCAACATCTGGATTTCCCTTCCAGTAAGCAAGGGGAAACTTCTGTGACCAATTTTTAGCATGGGAACCTACTTTAATGTCCGGGAACTCCTCACTCCAGGGTCGTAAATTTGTCTCTGGCCGCACCAAATGACATCCAGTAAATCATTCACGCAGCAATAATACCCAATCAATGTAAAGAGTAAATATATAAGTTCCCCCTTAAGTGAATATATAATAAAAGCATAATACTAAATCACATTGATTCCATTCCCAAATGCATTTACTATATTACAATTTGCCAGTTTAAATTCTGTTCTCAACAATCAAATTGAAAACAGGTAGCTCATGTAATGCAGCATTGAAGATTATTTTGACATGAAACGTACTACCAGAATCAACCAAAACATATAAATAATAATAGCAAAGTCTTTACTTACCAACCCCAAAACGACCAATCAGGAAATGGGATATCAAAACTTCTTTGATTTGTACAATACCGAAACAATGGCAGAGGCAACGGCCCATTTGTCGTTCTATCAATAACAGGCTTGTCCATGCAATCAAACATGATATCAACGTCAGGCACCATCCAGGGTACCTTTTAAGCATCTGCAACAATCCCCATATTGTGAACATGGCTCTGCTCTGTACACAATCATAATAAAGATCCACAAACAATCTCCCACCAACAATCACTACTCTAAAAGCAGCTAATTTCTTCGCTTCCATTAGTGTGGTCATGTTTATCCCGGTCTTGGCCCACGGCTCCAGATCATGTGGATCCAACGAAAGAATTGCGGGCAATTCTCCACCGTTTAGAGGAGTCAAACGGAGCGGTGTTTGCCATTGAGATAACGAGGAACAAGAGAGATACGAACAGTGTAACACTTTGTACGCGCGGGAGCGTGGTGAAGTGTCTCTGTGTAATTCTTTGGGGGAAATAAATGCCATGGTGTTGGTCTAAGTTGTCTCCAGCCAAAGTTTTTATCCGTGTAGCGAAGTCATCAACCTGTTTGATACAATTCGTCAGTAGATCTGAATACCAAATAAAATGAAGTAAACCCTTCTATTCTTCTAGTTTTACCTTGTAGAGGAAGAACACAGCACTGAGAGAGAAGATGGATAACAAAACGAGGAGAGGGAGAAGATAAGAGGAGAGCGAATAGAGTTTCTGGAAGAAAGGAGGCCCATGGGGATGGTAAAGTTTTCGAGGCGAGGGTTTTTGTTTGGAGCATTATGTAAAGTTGGGTGCTGTTTAAAAATGGTGTGCACTTTGTTGTGTTTCTTTAACAGAGACATTTTCGGGTATATTTTTGTCTTGGTGTCTCTGCTTTGGTTGTCCAGGACCTCCAGGTGGGGCACAACGCATGATTTTCTCAGAATGAATGTGGTATTTTTTAAGATATCGTCCATTTGTGTGCGTGTCACACTGTGAAAATTAACTATTTCTGATTGATTTGCTCCAGCTACGATGCACTGTTTTCGTTTTGACCCATTTGGGTTTGCTTTCTACTTTCATTTTTGTTCGTTAAAACTTTGACAGGCTTTTCTGTTCACCTGGTTTTAACAGGTTTCAGCCTTTCAGGGAAAAACTATTGCGACGGGCACAAGGATTACAGTGAATTAACTACAATTATTATTTTGTTTTACCTAAAAAAAACCAACTCGGAGGTTTGATGTCTAAGGAATTAACTCTTGATAAAATAACAAAAGATTTTTGAAGCTTCTGATTTACCAGAGATGGCTACGGGAGACTTTCAGGGTGTTGATTAAAAAAAAAAAAAAAAAAAAAAAACCTTTTTCTATGAAAAGCTGACGTGTTACTAAGTGGGCCGGACTCGTTCATAGTAGTATACAAAATATTTGTTGTTAAGTGAACAGATTAAAGAAGCATTTGTCTAAGCTTATGAGCTGGTTAAACTTGCTTATAAGTTCTAAAATTAAGCTGACTTATTTGTTTTAATTTTTTTAAGCTTAAAACTACAAAAAAATATAGTTGGGGGAGTTACTTTTTTTTTTTTTTGCTTATAAGCACTTTGCTTATAAGCTAGTTTGACCAAGTATATTACCACATTATCCTTATTTAATTTTAAAATTTCTAGTATACTATTGTTTAATGTTTACCTTTTTTAGTAATTTTATAATAAATGTACTTGTGAGCCACATTTTACCAAACAGTCATTACTTATCAGTCACTTATAGTACTTTACCCAAACACGTAATTGCTTAAAATTTCAATGCTTATAAGTTAATTTTAGCTTATAAGCAATTGTTGCTTATGCTAATTTTCATAAGCTCAGACAACACCCTCTAAGTAGAACGAAAGGTCATTCTAAGGGTGCGTTTGGCTTATTATTTTTATCTATATTTTTAACCCTATTTTTTAAATATGTTTGGCACGTTTTTTTTCAAAATATTACTCTAGTTTTTTAATATATTGAGACCTTATAGATATTAATTTCATTAAATACCCCAAAAAAAGTTTAAAAACTAACAAAAACACCCCCCCCGACCAATACCTGCCAGATTCTGGCAACCATCACTGGTGATAGCCAAAATCTCACAATAGTCACACAGTCACCGGAAATAGCCGGTAATGGCCAGATCTGGCCTTTTTCGGCTAGATCCAACTGGATCTAGCCGAAAAAGCCAGATCTGCAGTCAACAACGGCCAAAGAAATGGCCATCGTTGACTGTCACGACGGCCATATCTTTGGCCGTCGGCCGTCGTTTCAGCCGCCTTTTCCTGCCGTCGCAGCACACAACAGTTCATAGATTTGGCCTTTTCCGTCAAATCCGTGATGGATCTGACCGGAAAAGGCCATAACGACGCTTTTGGTACAGATCTGACCGGTCTATGTCGTAACGAAAATTTCCGGTCAGATTCCGACGGTGATGCCGGAATCTGGCACTGCAAGTGATGGGGGTGTTTTTGTTATTTTATATATTAGGGTCTTTAATTAAATTAGTAATCTAAGGCTTTTTCATAATTTTTTAAAGTTTATCTCATAATACTCCCCTATCCACAACCCAATACTATCCCCAAAATCCTATCTAAAATAATAAACCAAACGTACCCTAAATTTTCTGTTGTTAAAGTTTGATGTGTGAATTCCAATGCTATATAGCTAAATTTACAAGATTTTCATGGGAAATAGGAAATTATGCATGAAAGTCAGATTCAACCCCAAAAAAGTCATAGTGTTCTAACTGTTGATTAGTTTAGTATTTTTTGGAGAATCTCGTAATCAACTAGCACTCAAGCAATGATTTTATAAGAGTGTCAATCTTCCTACTCAATAAGGCATTTGAGCGAAGAGTTAGACCCAACTCTAACAATGTATCAGAACAGCCCATTTGAGCTGAGTGATTGACCAACCATGGCTGTCAAACTACTCCATTTCATAGTAAGTGAATCATATGGGTTTGACTGAGAGAAAGTATAAAATCATATATCATAAGCACGCTTAAGCAATGGGTTTATAAGAGTGACAATTCTCTACTTTGTTATTTTAGGTGAAAAGTTAGGCCACTCCATCAGTATTATTTATATCACATCATGATCTTCATAACCACAAACGTCCACAAACAATAACTGCTGCAGAATATAGTAGTCCTTGAACTGGAAGCGGATGGGACATGATACCATTTGAGATCACTTTTAATTTATTCGAACTCTTCAATGCATCTATGGTTCCATGTAAAATCACCACAAAAGAAGAAAAAAAATGTACACAGAGGAACTCCCCTGTTTCGGTTCATGGGTGATTTCTTGTTCTGTCATTTTCTGTTTTCCATTTACGTTTGAATATTCTTCTTAGTGGTTAACTCAAACCCTTATGAACAAATAATTTTCATGTAACCTATTGCAATCACAGCTCTCTACCAACAAAATTCTAAGGGTGCAATACACAGTGTTAGTGACCATTAAATTTACAGCTTTCACCAACTGAAAGCAT